TCAAATATAACATTACTAAAAATTTGATTTATGATTAGTGATTTGAATTAGTTGAGCTATATTCAGTTAATTGACCTGAACTGAATAAATTTCAGTTAACTAGTTAAAAAAAAATTTAATTGGTTGACTTGATACAACTGGTTGAAAATTGGATAATCACTTAGTGAAATTGATATAATATAAAATGATATAAAGAGAGAGTAAAAAGTTTGAAAAGTTCTAAAAAAAAAAAGAATAAATATAAAGACAAAAAAAGTACTAAAAATTTTTGATAATAATATCTTAACCAGTTGCAATCGGTTAAATAAAATAATTTGGTTTGGTTAACCAATTAAGAAACTTTCTCAGTCAAATTACTATTTATAATATATATAACAAGATTTTTTAGAGACTAAAAGCATTAAATTAAGCTTCAGATTTATATCAGTTTCTAGTTTCTAATAATATATATTAAAAGTTGGTATATATACAAATACTACTAAGTCAAAATACAAAAGTAAAAATTTAAATTTCACTATATTAGCTTAAATTCAATATAGTAATAAATCATATAAATACTGCTAAAAAAAACCTATCATTGGACTTTTAATTATATTTGGTATACAGTTTATTGAAAAAATTTTTAAATGGATTTTAATTAATATATAACAATTAATTAATTAATATCAATTAAAAACTTGATTAATATTGTTAAAATTAAGAGTATAGTGACTTAGTGAAATTGGTAAATTGTTACATCTCCAAGTGGCAAGACAAGAGTTTGAATTCTATTGGTAATGAAATTCGAATTTATGAGGAAAACTATATTCTATTGGGTTTTAGAATTATAATAGAGTCGCATCAGCTTGTATTAGAAGGTAGTAGAATATTTAGTATAATGTATAAGTTATACAAAACCTGAATGAAGCTACTAAATAAATCTAATAGATTAATAGATTATGAAAGCCTGTTTGGCAAGTCCCAAGTAGAGAGGTAGTACAGATCTTTGATAGTACTATATAAAAGATTATTATTTAAAATTAACAAAAACTGAATAGGACTGAAGTGTTTAGCAAAAGCACTTTATCAATTAGGCTGCTAGAGGAGATACCAGAGGAAAAAAACCTAACCATAGAAACCAGAAGCAGATCATAGCCCTTCTGGGCCATCTGAATTAGTAGTTTGGAGTAACAAAAGTATAGAAGATAGTCTGTAAAGTAGGTACTGGGGTTTGAGTAAACTTTGCAAGGACATGAAGTAAGTAATGGTAGTGGAAGTAAAAGGCTACAAGTGCTTGTTCTCAGACTTGACATAAGTTACCAAAAACCTAAGTAATACATATGTAGAACATGGACCACTCTAGTAGGTTTACAATAAGATTAAAGGATCCTCTATATAGAAGTGTATATCTGCTTTAAAGACTTAGCAGGCCTTAGCAGCAGGTTCCTCTTTAGACAAGATATTTGATGATGTAAAGTTGATTAGAGAGTTTAATTAGATAACTTAAGTAATAGTAGGTTATAGGTATGGCATCTAATATAGAATCTAGTAATAGGGAGCTACTTAAATTAGATGCTCAAAAGGTGCAGGAATAGCTAGAATATACATAACAAGATCAGGTGTGGTCTATATAATTGTGCTGGTATCGACCCAACAGTTCAATAAACTATACCAGACCTGTAAGTAGTTATTTTAATATTTAAAAAAAAATATATATTAATTTTTTTTTTAATATTAAGGAGATCACTTAGTAGTCTGAATACCAGAATAATTATTATATAAGCACCTCTGACTTTGTTACATTAATGAAAGTATTATTACTCTAATTAACTTAGTACTATCAAATATTTTTTCTGAAAAGGAATTACTGTGAAAGCCCCTTAGAACTTTAAAGCAAACACATACTACTATATAGGAAGGTCATTTATCCTCATAGTAAATCTACCAGAGCAGTCCATATCCCATACATGTATTACCTAGATTTTTAGTAACTTACATCTAGGCCGTGATTAAGTACTTGTAGCTTTTTATTACCACTATCATTATCTACTCCTTGCCCTTGCAAAGTTTACCAAAACACCAGCATTCACTTTACAGACTATCAACAGTACTTTGATGCCAACTATCAGTACTCGAAACTTTCAATTCAGATAGCCTGGGAGGGACCAGTGGACGTCTTCTAGTATTTTGAATGAATCCTTTTTCATTTGGTTATCCGGTGGCCTGGTTGGTGTAGTGCTTGCTAAACACTTAGTCTTTATTTAGTTTGCCTTTGGTGTCTGGTTCACCAGATGATAATCCTTTACATAGTGCTGTCAAAGATTTGTGCTACCTCTCTATTTGGAACTTCCCAAGCGGGCTTCTATATCTCCTAATCCCTTGGATTTATTTAGCTACTTCACCCAGACTTTGTATAACTCATACATTACACTATATTCCACAACCTCCCAATACGAGTTGGTGAGACCAAGGTTACAGATGCTGACCCGATCAATATATCATACAGTTTTACTATAGCACATTCTATAAATTCAAATTTCATCACCAGTGAGATTCAAACTCTTGTCCTGCTGCTTGGGGTGCGACAACTTACCAACTACACTAAGTTACTACACCCAAAAATATATATTGTTAAAATTATAATTTATTAATATTTGATATTTATTAAAAATTGATAGTAATCACTATATATCAAAAATATGATAACTATTAAAATAAAAGAATCAATTATTATTGATATAATATAAACTATTAATATATAGCATACTATGCTATATTTTAAATGTAATTGATATATATCAAAAATTTAATAACTATTTTTTTTTCAAAGTGAATCCTACTTGCTTTATTATAGAGAAAATTGAATTATCTAGGTACATAAATGCAATTATAGTGTCTCAACCAAAAGTTAAACTCATCCTCAATATTTCTCTTAAGTTAATAATATTATAGTTTATATAAAGAATTAAATTTTTATTATAAAATTTTTATAATTAATTTTGTAAAAAATAAAACTTGTATTAATAGTGAAAATTTTTTTATAGATAAAAACAAATAGAACTTGTATTAATAGTAAATTTTTTTTATAAATAAAAATATATAAAACTTAAAAGAATTTAAAAAATTTTAATAGTAAAAATTTAAAAAAGTTGTTAAAACGGATTTTAAAATATATTTTTTACTTAAAAAATATATACTGTATTACTAAAATTAATATTTAAGATTTTATTTAACAAATTTTAAATATTTCTTAAAGTTATAGACAAATTTGCTTCTAATACAGATGAACAAAGATGTCATCTAATAATATTAGACATTTGGACAATTTGACATTTTGATATTTGGACAATAACCAATTTGTTCAAGTGGACATTATAATGGACCCATATCATTTTATCGACCGACAACTTAGTTCACCGACAATTAGTTTACAGACAGGCTTATTTTACTGACGATTAACTCAGGCAAGTTCATTTCAGCAGTTTATTACACCAGCAGCTTATTTCATCGATTTTTTCTTATAAATTGCACTAACCTTAACTCTAATTCTAAACTTGACCCTAATGACAATGACCAGAATTACTTTATCGGTGAAATGAACTGTGTGAAAAGAACTTGTCTGCAAATTAATTGTCAGTAAAATAAGATTTTCTGTAAATTATTTGTCGGTGAATTAAGTTGTCGAAGTGATTGTCGATAAAATGAAGAACCGTTATATTTATGTAGATTTTTACTGATAATTAGATTCTGATTAAATTGCTGTACAATAAAATTATTAAACAATTGGACATATGTCCTAATTTTTTGAATGTCTAATGGTCCAAAAATTGGACATAGTCCAAATGTCTAAAATGTTCAAAAGTTCAACTAAATTTATTTGGAAATTGTCCAATGACAACTCTGCGGACGAAGGGATAGTCGCACTATTTTTTTTAGCTATATAGCTATTATAAAGTATATGTATTTTGACCTTTATATAGTGACCAATATATCGAGATGTGAGATTGCATCCAGTACAAGGATTAGCATTTGGTAGTGAATAAAATTAAATGTATTGTTTAGGTCGTTATTATATAGATTTATTTTTCTCATTTGGAATGTAAGATAGTATCCACATCTTACGAGAAAATTTATACTCGCAAATTATCATGAGTAACCTGATTAAACTATCGCAATATGTTTCAAGCTCCATAATGTTAGTGGGACTGTGTAAGGGACCGTATGTACCTTCTTATACAATGATCCTAATTTTTATATGTTTTTGTGTCTCGAATATCAACTTGCCTCAGGCAACAGCTGAAGTGCCTCAGATATTTAATGTTTGGCCGGCATTGATTGGTCGGCACTGATTGAGCTAAACTATATAAACCTACCTAATTTTAACCTTAATTTAGGCTAGTTAATATCTGAGGCAAGAATACATCTGAGACAAATAATATATATTAGTGCACATAAAATTTTAGAAAATGTTCATGTGACGAACATGAACTTTATACACTGGGAGTTAGGGTTGAGAGATAAGATATAGTTTAGACCAACTATTAATACTTAAATCTGAGATGCTTTAGCTGCAATCTCACAAGATTTAGTCTGAGACACAACATATATATGATTTTTTATATAGTATTCACATTATGTCTTTATTATGCCTTTATTATGTTTACATTATTCATTCCCTGAAACAATCAAAAGCAAGAAATGTTAATATAATATTCTTTCTGTTTAGTATATCATTTCCATAATTACCATTCTATTGTAGCTGGTGGTTTGCTTGAAACATCATAGACAACTCTGTTGACTCCTATTATGTTTTATGTTAAAAAAATTTGGTAATGTTATCACAAAGTGCTTAATAAATAATTTGTAACTACAAAGTTAATACCTTTTACTTCATTTATAATCCTATTGCTAATACGTTTCAAGACATCATAAGGAAATGGGTACCTATTAAGGTTAATAATCAAAAGACTTTAATTTTTATCTTAAGTTTAATTCAATAAAGGATTTATGTCCGGAAATGACTACCAATCTGCTGTCATGAAATCAGTCGTCTCTACAGCTCTCAATGCAATAACCTGTTCGTATGTCCTTTTATCACCCATCACACCCACCGCCTTTACGGGTAACAAGGCAGCATAAGCTTGTGAAATCTTCAGATAGAGTCCAGCTTTTTTTATTTCTTCAATGTATATATGATCAGCAGCACGGACAATGGCAACTTGGCTTGGCGTTACTTCTCCTAATATACGAATAGCAATTCCCGGT